TTTTTTACATGCGTTTCAGTGGAGGTGACACCTTTTTTCCATGATTAACATATTAAAATTAAATCTATAAATATTATATATTTAGATACAATTTTAACATGTAAACTGCCCCTCACGATAGAACTTTTTTTGAATTTTCGATATGTTGTTCTGGATAATAGTATCAAATTACAGCTAAATTTTTGACGGGTTTAACCACACCGTTTGCAAGATATATTGACCTTAAAAAACAATATTTTAACATGTAGGCTTATGGAGAAATCATTAAAATTTCACATAAAAAAATCGACTTAATAAACTTGTTTTTTTTTTTTTAATGAAAGAATATTGTCAAAGTTTAAGAGAGCCCTACCACAAATTTCTATTAAAAAACAGCAAAAAATGTGCACGCACCAGACGACTTGGCAAGGCTGCGTTTAACGTGAGCTTTAAATTGTAATGAATAGTAAAAACTCCTTTCGTAATTGAAAATTTAATTATAAAAAATTCAACCGAATAAATAAGTACACTGTCATCAGTAGACGACGATAACAGTAGACGACGTGCCAGCAGACAAAAAAATTCACAACGTTGCCAGACGCTCTCCCCTACCCCTTGCCGCTCTGATATTACCCCCCGCTAACACTGCCAAACCTTCTTTACTGTAAATAAAATAGCATGAAATATCCCCCTTCTTTTGGAGTTGCGCACTGCATCGAACTGAACAACACTAAACTCTAAGTATATTAAAATTCCTTATATAGTCGTCAGTTAGTCTACGATTTTATCAAAGTGGCACGCAAGTAAAACGTTGATCACTTAAATTTTAGCTCGAATTATTGGATAGTCGTTAAAAAAATTTTCATTAAAAATGAACAACGAAAATAATGACGATGAGTATGTACAACCTGTTCCATGGTATGTCCGGGCGCAGGAAAACTTTAACCTATATCATTTCGTAGATAAAGAACAAAGAGAATGGGCCTCGACTACATCTCATTCCGGTATTCCTTGCATAATCTCTCAAGAGTCGAGATCCCTGACCATAAGGCAAGACAATAAACCTGCTCCCTCAGACAACAAATTGAGTACGGTGAGGCTATCGAGAATAGAGTTGTAACATAATTTATCTTGTGTGGAACGTGTTGGAATTCATAGGGATATTATTTTCAGGGTACATTCGTAAGGGGCATTGAATGCGGTACATTTGCCCTTCATGAAATAAGTGCTAGCGTAAGTATTTGGTTTCTTCACGCTAACAATAAATTTTGAGTTTTTATTGTTCCGAATCTTAAGAACAATAACTTGTACGTTTTATTGTCCATTTGTATTCATATATGATGTCACCGACCATTTTTAAATACCACGTCATAATTTTTAAAAGGTTTCCTTTGTTAGAAAGTGGTACGTTAATTAGTTTTACTTGTTTTATCTACAGGTCATTAGTAGATCAATCATAGTCAAGGCGAAACACACGGGAATGCAGGACAAGGATGACAATAGTCATTTTGATTTATACAAAACATTCGACGTTTTGGAAGAGTTCGACATCGAAAAAGCCATGGTTACATTGCACTCTGATGGTGTTTTAAAGATTGAAGTTCCTAAGATAACAGCAAACGAATAAATAGCATGAAGCCAACAGCTTGAATTTTATCAACTAATTAAAAAAAGGACCAAAAAAACGAAAAGAATCAGTAAACAGCATGAAAAAATAAATACATTTTGTCAACGTGTAGATGAATTATTAAAACGGTTTTAAATGTCTAAAGGCTATTGATATAATTTTGATGTATAACAATAAATATCTGTAAGTATTCTATTGGTGTTAAAGGTGCAAGATCCTACATACGTCCCTCTCCATCTGGCATAAACGGTTTAGCCATTACTCTCATGTTGTATGGCACATACCTTCTTACCGTACCGAAATAGTCACCATATTTACGCGCCACGAAAGAGATTCGCACGTTTGTCTATACAAGTAAATACGCCGCCATTGAAGCCACTCCACTCTGTTGTAAAACACGTTGTAACGTTTATAAAATGACGATTGTAGTTCCTTTTTAAACATATATACAAACAAATCAACGTTATTCACAGGATGTAATTAAAAAGAGCGTAGTATAAG